TACCCAACTTTTTTGGATGTCTCCAACTCAGGTTGCCCTTTGGTTGGAATATCATGATGTTATTTTGAATAACAATACCGCTAAGACCAATCATTACCAAATGCCACTTTCACTTTTCCTTGCCATTGATAACAATACCAAGTCTCGTCTCATTGCACAAGCTCTTGTGTCTGATGAAACTGCCGAGTCTTATAAATGGATCCTAAAATGTACAATAAAAGCAACAATAATTGAACCATTAGTATTCGTTACTGATGCGGATCCTGCTGCAGATGTAGCAATCAAACAAATATATTTGACAACTTACCCAATCTATTGTATTTTTTATATTAACGAAAACTTACCAAAAAACCTCAAATCCAAACTTTGTGATCAATATGATAAGTTTGTTCATGATTTTTTTATTTGTCATAATAGTGTGAGTGAAGAACTTTTTTATAAAAAGTGGTTGAGTCTTATCGAAAAATATCCCAACACGAAAGATTATTTAATGAGAGCTCTTTACCCTAGCCGACAAGCGTGGGCCTGTGCATTTACATTAAAGATATTTACTGCGGGAGTACAAACTACCTCCTGTATTGAGGGTCTCAATAATATTATTAAACGTGAATTAAAAGCAAATAGTACTTTGTGTGATCTTATCAGTATCCTTGATAAATGGCTTGAAAATGAAGGGCAATGGAATCGTTTTTTTGAATATTGTACTCTATCAACCTGTATGAGAATCACATCAGTTGGCAATGATCTTTTTCCTGAAATTAACAAAGTAATGTCTAAATACTTGATACCTTATATCTTATCTGCTGAACGTTTGGAGATGACGCAATGCCTTTACTTTATTTCAAGTAAAGTGAAACCAGACATAGTTGAGGTAAATTGTATTTTATTCTATTTTTAGGGTTGAAATTATTAACAAAATCTAACATTTAACACTTTTACTATATAGGATCTGGATGTTAATGTAACAGATGGATTTATTAAAGATCTACGATTCTAAGCAAATTTTATTAAAATCGATGATTGCTGAAGTTGGTAAAGATAACATTCGCGAAATATGGAAGATTACAGATATATGACCCAATAATAAAAAATACGTACATTTTGTGATAATAGTTGATCCTATTTCATATCTTTGTTCATGTATGTTGAATATATCTCGTGGTATTATTTGTCACCACTATTTTCGAGTAATGATAGTTTCATCTGTCACAGGATTTCAAATTCAAATGATACCTTCGCGATAGTATATTGATGATTAAAAGGATAAGGATACAACTGCAGAGACTTATTGTTTTATAAATCAGGAAGTTACGCAAAATTTTTTGGGTATAATACTTACTCCAAATCCTTCAACTGTTCCTACAACTGTTACCACTGTTTTACGTCATGCAATAAAAAAGAAATTCAAATATAGGAAAGTGTGGGGACTTGCGCGGCAAACAACTCAATTTGCTGTTGATCATGATAGTTATGGTGAAATGATCGAATGGCTAAAACAATTTATTAATCAGCACAAAGAAATGATGATTACACATACTGGATCAATACGAAATCGTGATGATACTAATAAGGAAAATGAACCTGAACAAATTGAAAATCCATTAGTATCACGACGCAAAGGACGTCTAGAAACAAAGTGATATAAATCATCAACTGAAAAGAAACCACATGCAAAATACACTTGTGGTATATGCGGTCAATCAGGACATAATAGTGTAAGGTGTCAGAATTGGTAGGTATTAATTTATTAACTCTTTATTTTTATTTTTTTTATTTTTGCCTTTATTTATCTGTTCCTTTCCTTTATCTCTTTATTTTAATTTATTTTAATTGATATAATAGCAGAAATCATCAATAAATTGAGGAGGTTGGACAATTTTATAAGAGTTATAGTATAGGTTCAATATAATTTATTGATTGTAACAAGTTTTTTTTTTACAAGCGATGTGATTTTTTTATTTCTAAATAAATGAATTAATCAGTTTTATATGCAATGGCACAGTAATATATATAATAAATATAGTTTATTTTGATATATGCTAATCTTAATTTTTAACCTATTTTTGACCCACTTTTCAATTCATTTTCTGACCTACTTTCTGACTTAATTTCTGATCTAATTTCCGAGGTTGTTACATGTAATTCATGTAACAGATTGTTACAATTAACTTTATCCATATAATAAATAATATAATAAAATATGTATAATAAATAAAAATTATCATAAAAGAAACATATCATAAGATGCTTATTATTAGAATAGTGCAGTATATCTATTCAAAATAAATTTACTATTTTATTTATAATCCAAAAAAAAAATATAATAACCTTTTTGTATAAATATACTGAACTTGCTAATTATTATAACATAAATTTAATATAGTTAATAATATATTTTAAAAAAGAAATTCTAAATATTTATCAATTTCTAATTTAAAATTTAAAAAAATGGTTTAAAAAATTAATGTATAAAGAAATAATAAAGTTTTTAATATTTAGATATTTCAATTTTTAGATATTAATCAAATATTATTTAATGATATTTTATAAAATAAAACAAGTAATTTGCAAATAAATTTGATATAATTAGATTTACTATTTCTGTAAAATAATTAATAAATTTTAAAAAAAAAAAAAATAATATTCATTTATATATCAAGTTGTTAATGTTTTTATATTAAAGATAATTGATAATTATAAATATTTTATTATTAAAAAATTATTTGAATAACTATTAGAAAATATTTATAATTGTGATAAAACAGATATTTTATTTTATATTTATATTATTTAATACAAATAAAAACTTTGATCAATTTAGATTGATTTAGTTTATATTCAGTTTTTATTATATTAATCCAAAAATTTTTAGATTAATTCAAACTTTTTTTGAATTATAAATCTAATCTAAACTGAAAAATTTAAATTGAATTGAAAATTTCAAATCAATCTAAAAATTTCAGATATTTTATTTTAAACAAATAATAAAAATATCATTCAATTAAAATGATTGAAATGATTATTTTAACGAATAATAAAATATTATTTATTTAAAATAATTAAAATTATAATTCTAAATAAATAATAATAATATTATTTAATTAGAATAATTGATATTATTATTTCAAATGAATAATAAGAAAAATATTTATTTAGAATGATTAAAATTATTATTTTAAACAAATGATATAAATATTTTTCATTTAAAATAATTGAAATTATCATTTTAAATAGATGATAAAAATATCATTTAATTAAAATAATAAAAACTATTTTAAATAATCTAAACTTTATATTAATCGAAATTTTCAATATAGTTTATATTTAGAATAATATTTTTAAAATTAATAATTTGAATTGAATTAAACTAAATTTTAATTTAGGTTCAGATTGATTTATAATTCAGATTAATATAAACACATATTAATTTATTTTTTTTATTATTTTTTTATTATTATTTTGATAATTAAAACCTTCTAAAATTTTTGTATAAGGTATTATAACTAAAATTAAAATTAAAAAATAGAATAATATTAAAAATTTATGTTTTTAAATAATATATTATTGAAGATTTAATTTAAAATTATTAGAATAATATTATAAAAATGTATTAATTAATTTGATAAGCTTACTTAAAAATTATAAAAAAATTTATTATTAATTGATAATATTTGTCAAAATAGTTCAAATCAATTAAAAATCAGATAGCTAAATTTATGTAAATATTTTTATAGCTAAATTATTTGTTTTTTAATTAATTTAAATTAATGCTAGTTGATTCCAATTGAATAAAATAATTTGATATTAATTTAAAATATTAATTTAATCATAAATTAGTTTAAAATTAATTTTAATTCAGCATCAATTTAACTATAAATTAGCCTTAATTTAACATATATTTAAAATATAAATTTATCTATAAATTTAGTATAATAAGTATTATAAAATCAGTTAAAATATAACTAATAATACAAATTACATTTTATATATTTTTACCAAAAATATAAAACCTACATAATATTTTTTAAATATACTATATTATTTATATTTTATTACATAGAAATGTAATTATATAAAAGAAATTAATTAATAATATTAGTTTAACAATTAATATGATAATGATTATAATTAATATATAATTATAAAAGAGTATTTTATATAAAAAAATCAGAAACAAAATATAATATACTTAAAAAAAATAAATATAATTATATAGGATAACTGTAGAAAGATTATTTAAATTTGTTAATATTATTAATACTATAAAACATTTTAACTTATTTGATAATATAAATAATAAATAATAAAATTTCTCAAATTTTCAAATTTAAATAAATTTAATATAAAATTCTATTATTAATTATATTTATATATTTACAATATATATAAATTCTCAAATCAAAATTTTATAAATTCTTTATTATACAATTAAGTAAAGGTAATAAAATTTGTAAAATACAAATATTCCTATTTATGATAACCTAAAAAATTAGAAATATAATAGATCACATAAGGCAATATTAGCATTAGAAGCTTTTTGATAACATTCTTAGCCTTAAATAAATGAAATTTCTGTTTATACTTGGATGATTATAATCAGAAATACTTAAATTGTTCTTTGCACTAACACTTTTGTGAGAATGATGCATAATTTACGGCAATTGTCCACTGTTTAAATTTAATAAAATGGAAATTCCGATTATAACATATTTACGATCATCTATTATCGATATTTTATTTACTACATTTTATTAAAGTTCAATATGACTAATAATAATACCTTTTAAATCATCAATTTAAAAAGGTATATATTATTAATCCCTCCCTTATTCGAGTAACGGTGTTGCTCGTTGACTTATTAATTTAACCTTTAAGAGATATTAAATTAATATTATCTTTTTTTTTTGGTTTACCTTATTAATCGTATAATAAAGTAATAAAATTGCAATAAGGTCCAATTAAGATTTTTAATCGAAACCTGTAAAACAACCATTAGCATTTTATTTTTTGGCATATGTGATCTTTAGTTTGTGTTCTGGTGCTATCAGATGGTTGGATAAAGCTTCTTTTGCAATCATGGCTTGAGGTTCCGAGTCGAATTCAACAAACGCTATACCCTTTGCCGGATGAATCGATCGAACTTCTTTAAAGCCAGAATATCTATAATTATTTAATATGTATTCGATTAATAACTAAAACGATAAAATTATAATAAAAAAGGGGGAACCTAGATAACATACTGTCCAAACAATGAGATTAGAATAGCTCCTGTTATGTCGTTTGGCATATTCTGCAAGAAAAGAATATTGTTTGGAGGAAGATATTCATCCGGAATGTTGCCAGCTGCCGGTACTTGATGTCCAAAATGATACATTGATGCTTTTACAAAAAAAAAAAGATTTCGATATTAAATTCTTAAAGCGACTTATAAAAGGATTGGAGAATATAATTACCCCCAGGCATGTTTGATCCAGATTGTAATGAAGCATTATTACTTGATTTAAATTTCTTTGTCGGAGGTTCTTTAGCTCGTTTCTCTAAATTATATATGTGTAGCATTGATTATGGTTATATTTTAATAATTTCAACCACAAAATCCAAATACCTTTGGCTTCCAATCTTTGACGTTTATGTTCTTCAATACTTCCATCGATCATAGCGATTGCATCCGATTTTGTTCTCGCGTATTGGATAACCTAAAAATAATAAGGATCGACAACGATTTCCAAGAGTCAAACAATAAATACATAATTAGCGAATCCTTTACCATCGGCTTTCCCTGTAAGGCAAATCCTTGAACTCCCTTAATTGCATTTGTGGCGCTTTCTTGCTCTTTAAACACGACAAATGCCTGACCGCGCATTCTAAAGTTATCCTGAACGATAATTTCTAGGATTTCACCATACTGTTCAAAAATGGTTGATAAGGCTTTCTTTAAAGCTAATAAACATAAAAATATATAACATATATCATTAGACATTCAACCTTTATGTTTTGTGCATGTTTAACAAAGCGTTAATAGTACCTGGTAACTTGATTTTTTCATTGAGGTTGTTAATGTAAATTGTGTTGTTTGGTGTTGTGCATGGTGATTGTTTCGGAGTTGGTGGTGGTATTACAGGTGTAGGAACGCCTGGCTGTGGAATGTTGAACGCAGTTGGTGGCGCATAAACCGAAGGATTCGCTCCTGTAGGCGGTGCAGACATTGTTGATTCAACCGCGTAAAAGCTATTCTACCAAGAATAAAAAAATTTCAAGGGTTTAAATTACCAAGTTACACAAATGATGAATTCGGAAATTATCATATTGAGCGTTAATTAAAGATAATTTGAATCGACCAATCAAAACAAGGGAATTTTTTTTTACAGATAAAACACGTTTTTCCTAGTTTTTTTCTTAACGATATTGAGTTTTATCAGATCTGAATAACACATAATTAAAAAGATTTGAATGACTAGCAAGCTTGTCGTCATATCCCTCATAAAGATCCATTGTTTTAGTTTCGTTAAAGTGAAAATAAACTAGGAAATTAAGCAAAAACTTATCAATCTTGTATATGTATTTTCGATTAAATGTTCATCAAAAATATATATAATAATGGTTAATTAACCGGTAAAAAATTTATTCCAATATCTTGAGGTAAAGAAGACTAAAAAAGCGTCAAAACATGAATAGGAGAGTTATAGCGGACGCTTATTATTATTTTTAATATTTAATATTTGTTAGTTAATTTAATAAGGTACTATAAAAGCAAAACCGAATCATTGATCCTATCACAAGTTGAATAACTAAAGTTCGAAATTAAAATGCGTTTACCGATTATTTCGCTGTCTGGTCAATAAAGAACAATTATAAATGATTTTTATCCTTTCGCGTCAAAATTAAAACACAATAAACGAATTATCTTACAATTTTTTCAATGTATCGTTTGAAAATGCTGCCTTTCTCCTCAAAGTGAGTTTAAATAAAATAGCAATAGAATACATTTATTATGGATGCGTTAATTGAACACGTGACAGAAAGATCTGGTCCAATCTGCTTCAGAGATCGTATGTCGTTTCCGAGATCCCCTTCCACGATTTTATTTTTTTTTCATGTCGTTGCGTAGTTTGATACTTTGGCAGTCTAAGCAATTTTTCAAGTCATGCTTATTTTCACAAAGTTCGACGAAAAAATACGCGTTATTTCACATAAAAAAAAATTTTGTTTCTAGCTCTAATTTTGAGAGATATGATTCGAAATTGTCACCCTTTCGTTTAGCAGTTATTGGAAGTGGACCAGCAGGTTTTTATACAGCGTATCGCGTATTAAAAGACCATCCATCAACTTTAGTAGATATGTATGAATCTCTCCCCATTCCTTTTGGGCTGGTTCGGTATGGTGTAGCTCCAGATCACCCAGAAGTTAAGGTATTTTTTGAGTTTACAAAAATTTTCAGTTCTTTAAATAGGTATCTATGGGTAACCTATTTTAATAGAACGTTCAACATAGGTTCGATGAAGTTGCGCAAGATTCGCGCTATACTTTCATTGGTAATGTTAAGTATGGTGAAGACCTCACTATAGCAGATCTAAAATCACAATACGATGCAATTGTTTTTTCATATGGAGCGAGTCAAGAAAGATCTCTTGGTATTAAAAACGAAGATGAACCTATTAGGAATATATTTTCTGCACGAGCTTTCGTTGGTTGGTATAACGGTCTACCACAATATCGAGACTTGGAACCTGATTTGACTTGCACCGACACCGCTGTGGTTATTGGGCATGGCAATGTAGCTTTAGATGTTGGCAGGATATTATTGACAGATGTTATGGAATTAAGCAAAACAGACATCACAGAATATGCTTTAGAAAAACTCGGGAAAAGCAAAATAAGAAAAGTTATTATTGTAGGAAGAAGAGGACCTTTACAGGTTGGGTTATAATCCACTTTTCAAAATATTCATATATAATCTTCGCTCATCATTCCTTCATGAAAATATAGGTTTCTTTTACTGCCAAAGAGCTTCGTGAAATGATGAATTTACCAAATACGAAATTTCATACAGATTTCGAGTTCATAAAGAATGAACTTTCTGCAAATGTTGATCTTATTTCGAAAAATCGTCCCTTGAAACGATTAATGCAAATATTAGAGAAAGGAAGGTCTAATACTATTGGTGATAAATCATGGTCACTCAAATTTTTACGTAGTCCAGATGAATTCCTAGCACATGACGATAATGATCCTATTCGACCAAAATACGTACGTGCAATCAAATTCCATATTAATAAATTAGAAGGCCCACCAGAAAAACGAGTTGCCGTTCCCACTGGAAAAATGGAAGAATTGCAAAGTGGTTTAGTTCTTAAGAGTGTAGGATATAAAAGCGTACCCGTAAAAGGTTTACCTTTCGATGAGAAGAAAGGTCTTGTCCCTAATTATAAAGGAAAGATCCTAGATAATGATAATAATGAGGTATATTTGATTTTTGTATATATTTTATTTTATGCTCATGTAATTAATTAATATTATTATTCATTTATGTGTGATAGCAACCGGGATTATACGTCGCTGGATGGTTAAAACGTGGTCCTCAAGGTGTAATAGCAACAACCATGTATGATGCGTTTGAGACCGCAGAAGCTATTGTATCAGACATTAAGCAAAATAAACCAATGCTTTCATTCCAAACTACTAAAAGAGGGTCAGATGCGATAATTCCAATTCTTCATCAACGCGGTATAAGAACAATTTCATACGAGGATTGGAAAAAGATCGAAGAAAAGGAGAACGAGGCAGGAAGAGTGAAAAATAAACCGAGAGAAAAATTTGGAAGAATTGAGGATGTATTATTCACTTTAGATACATTGAAATAACTACGTTGTCGAAAATATATTTATTGCGTTCATCTGTTTATGGTGCGGTCATACACAACTTCATTTTTGGTTCGTGACGCTTCGTGTAACACAATTTTGGTTGACACCTTTTTTTGTAGAACATTTTTTGTAAAACTTTTCAAATCACATGATAACCGAGAAAAATTATAATAACGCGAATTAGACTGTAACGAAAACTGGTAACTTTTTTTTTGTAACCTATATATAACTACCCCTGCATCTTTTGATAGCGACGGGACTTTTACGGTTTCCGTTTTCCTAGTTTATTAACCTTTAAAAAATAAAATTTCATTTTCACATGATCAGGTGATCTTCATCGGTTATTGTTTACATATAAGGTATAAATGTTTGTATAAATAAATAAATTTAAATTTAATCTTAATTATCAACCCCTTCCTACTTTTCCTACCTTTCTAACAATGGATAAAAAAATATTGCCAATTCCTGCAGATAAAGTCAAGTTTATCAGAGGAATTAAGAATAGTAATATTCGTCATATAGAGTAATATTAATTTAATAATTAGAATGAATTTTTTTGTGGTTATTATTCGTTTTAAATTTATTGCACGTTTTTTAACATTTTTTTTTTATTTAATTTCTTAAATTAGAAATAAATCTGGTGCCAATATCAGGATAACTACATATAAACAACAAGCTACAGCAGTTATCACTGGTGATGCAAAGCAACGTACAATTGCCGCAAATCTAATTAGAAAACAACTTGATACGGCGTTCGTCCTTCCCACAATCGGATTTAACATCTTGGAATTAAATGATGTAACTGATGTTAATAAAGCTAAATTCCAATTTGTGAAATTTGAAGGAGATGATGTAAATGCTCATTCAAGAAATAGAATACAATATTTCGTTAAATCCATAAAAGAGACCGAAGATGATTCTGATAAACGAGAGACTTCAGAAATCGATGATCTCATAGATTCATTTGATCAAAATCTTGATATTTCTTCAGATAGTGGTTTCACCGTATCTGAAAAATTAGATGATTGTTATAGTAAAATTTTTTCCCAGCTTTCAAAAGCCGATCCAACTGACTTCGAATCAAAAGAGATACGTTTAAATCTCTTTTTCGGTCGCCAATTATATTCTGACATTCGTAAAGATATTTTTAATGCCAAAGAATGGACAAAGTTTAGGCATGGTTCGCATGGAAGAGGAATTCGTACATCTTTCCAACATCATGCACCTCAAATTTTGGAAAAAATTGATTTACTCCAAGATAAGTTCGGATTTGAAGAAAATAAGCAAAAGAAAATAACTCCTGACGATAAAGGGAGCATCACGATATATTTTAAGCAAGATTCGACCGGGAGAAAGTTTAAATTGCATTGGAACCCTGAAGAGAATTTATGGAAAATAACCAAATTCGTGCGAGATACCAATCGACTTGGTAAAATTATTATTCATTCATAATGAAATTATCAATGATATTAGATTTTATTGATCATATCATTTATTTAAATTTATATTAGCGATTTTGGATATAATCTCTGGTACCGAAGCTCCAGATTGTAGGTTCCTGTTAAAGACTTCTTATGATATACCTATCGCGTATAAGTTCAAAAGAATCATTGATGAAATACAATCCAAGGGACCTTTAGAATTGAAAGATGGAATGTGGTTTCGAACTAAAGATTTTGATGGGAAGCTTGAAAGGGTTGAATTACGTCAAACCGTATCAAAAAGACGATTCTTGTGAGTCTAAATTGATTTTTTTTTTTTTTTTGTTTTATAATCAAATATCTAAAGGAAAAAAAATTTTCTTTCTGATAAAATTTATTAGCAACCAAGATTTCCAAATTTCTATTGTTTCTATTAAACAAGAATCAAATGGGGAAATATCAACCCAACAAACGATCAATCTTAAAAATCGAAGTTGGAGACCTGTAGAAAATATTGATAATAATCTTAGGTTACATTATGATGAAGAAGAAATAGGCAGTACAATCCGTGGAACCATCGAATTTGCTAGGGACATAATGAAAGCCTTAGCATAAATCATTGGTCGATAATATTTGTAAAGAACATTTGAACATTTTGAACATTTGTATATAAATATAGTAAAAATATATTATAATAGTAGTGTCAAATACATTAACATATATATATATAGCTGTTTGTATAACACATACTCGTACCTTGATCATTTTATAACAGAACTTCATAGTTGTATTTTTATCTTTCTATAAAATAAAAATAAAAAAATAAGAATGTCTTTGGATGCTATTCTTGAGTCAGCTAACCTTTTGTTGCAAACAACATTGAGTTCCAATATCGGCTTCAAAGAAATATTAAATAATGAAAAATTGATCTTTTCTCATAAAGAGGAGGAAATATTAAAATTAGCGACGCGTTTGGAACAAATAAAAGAGCAAAGACGCGATTTACATTATACTTTACAGAGAAAAAGTTGTTTAGAAAATTTTACTACTGGATCGGACGAAGCAAGTGAAATAATTTCTTTGGAAGTACGAATTAAGGAGAAAAAAAAAACGTTGGCTTCTTTAAATTCGAAAAATCAGGTTAAAGACAAAGCGGTAGAAAAGTAAATATATACTTTATTTTATTTTATTTTTCTTTTTTCTTTATAAATAACATGAGATACGTTTGTTTAATTTCGTCCCTTCAAGTACCGAAACAGGGCAAGTCATATTAACTTCTCTATTCTCCGAAGGAAATAAGACATCTTCACATGAAACCTGTCTCAATGAAATGATAAATAAGCGTGACCTTCTCGTATCTGAGTTCTTGAAATCACATCAAGAACTTCTTAAGGTACAATATGAGTTGACAAATCTCAAGAAAGCCGTCATTGGTTCGTGATATCATTTTTTTTATCATCATACAAAAGTTTATCAAATATTGATTTTATATCATTTTCATTTAGCTCGACATAGAGAAAATAGAACATTGATGATGCAAATCAACGAATTTATTTCCAAACCAATTGAAAAATATTACGAGAATTCAGGAAATAATCAAGCTGTAACGTTACAGTTAAAAAGTTTGTCGAATGATTTGGCGAATGCAAGAGCGAAACGAGAAATTGTACGAAATATTTTACAAGGATTAATCCTTGAAAGTGGAGTGGATTGGGCGAATGACGAACATTTATTGAATTTGATACTTATTATTGGAGAGGAAATTTAAATGGAAACGTGAAAATTGTTACCTATTCATTTTAGAAAAACGGAAATCATGTGATGTGTTATTATAAAAAACACGTAATGCCTTCTTTTAGTAAAGAATCACGCAAAATTTCCCGATCTACGTGTAATAAAAATACAAAAATTTCAATTTTTCATTAAATTTTTTTTTTTTTTTTTTTGTTTCAATTCTAAATTATGAAAGCCTTTTCCAGTTTAGTAACTACGCGTCAATATGCGATAAGATCCAGCATAAGAAACTCATTTTCAATACGAACTTTCAAAAAAGGGTTAAGTTCAAACGCTGCAGTAAAGGATATGCCAAGTATGAATATTGTTTTCAAGCACTGCTTACATATTACGTGTTTAATCAAAATAAAAATTT